GCCTATAGCAGGGGGAAGCCTGTAGCAGGAGGGAAGCCTATAGCAGGAGGGAAGCCTATAGCAGGAGGGAAGCCTATAGCAGGGGGAAGCCTGTAGCAGGAGGGAAGCCTATAGCAGGAGGGAAGCCTGTAGCAGGGGGAAGCCTGTAGCAGGGGGGAAGTGTAACATGCTTCTTCCCTTGGGCGGGGAAGAGGTAGCAGGCCGTTTTCTCTTCTCTGGCTTCCTTTGCCTCTGTGTAGATAATTGAGCTTCCCAGGTCTTGAGAATCTAGTATAGCTGCCCTCCTTTACCAAAAAGAAAGCAAGCCTGGCAGCACTGGGTCAAAACCACTCATTCCCCTTTGACCTTCCTGTCTAGCTGTGGTCTCTTAGGTCAGTAGTTGTCTCTGTGCCCTGTACAGACTGGGCCCTCTCAGTGGAGCAGAGACAGGCAGAGGCCTCTGGAGAACCAGTCTATGGCTTGTGATATCCTGGTGCCTGTGGTTATCATTTCCTGATGGCTAGCTTATCCTTCAGGGAGCTGCAGAATGCACCTGATGCCATCCCTGAGAGTGGAGTGGAGCCCCCACCCCTGGACACAGCCTGGGTGGAGGCCACTCGGAAGAAGGCCCTGTTGAAACTGGAGAAGCTGGACACGGACTTGAAGAATTATAAGGGCAATTCTATCAAAGAGAGCATCAGGTGCTGACCTGTTCTGGGCAGGGGAGGTGGGCAACTGGGCCTGCCTGGCCCTCGACCAGTATTCACTCACTGCCAGGCCTACAGGCGCGGCCATGATGACCTGGGTGACCACTACCTGGACTGTGGGGACCTCAGCAATGCCCTCAAATGTTACTCACGAGCCCGAGACTACTGCACCAGTGCTAAGCATGTCATCAACATGTGCCTCAACGTCATCAAGGTGGCCAGGGTGACAGCTGGGTAGGCATGGAGGGTCCAGAAGGGACAACCCAGACTTAGTCTGGCCTTGCCTACTCATCTGCCAGGTCAGTGTCTACTTGCAAAATTGGTCTCATGTGTTAAGCTACGTCAGTAAGGCTGAGTCTACTCCAGAGATTGCTGAGGTAAGGCCTACCTTCACAGAGAGTCTGCTGTAGAAGTTTTATCCCCCATTAGCCCCTTTTACTTCTTCCATACCTCAACCTCCCTTTGAGTTTGCTCCCAGGGTAGGGTGGGGACAGGGAATAGAGCTCCTTGAATAAGGGCAAGGTAGGGGGCCTCTCATGTCTGCTGCCTTCTCCTGCAGCAGCGCGGAGAGCGAGACAGCCAGACGCAAGCCATCCTCACCAAGCTCAAGTGTGCTGCAGGTGACCTCTCCCACTCTTTCTCCCTCTCCGTGTAGCACTTGTTCAAGTTCATAAAGAAGCTGGTGGGGTTTGGGGAAGTAGGTCAGCTGGTTTCCCTGAGCCTGGGTATGTATGCATATACATCATGGGCATTTTGAAGATTTCCTGCAGACCTAACTTGGAATGTTTTCAGTTAAATGCTGTTACTAACAGCTAGTATTTCTGTCCCAAAACTGAGGAATACTGGCTTAGGAGGCCAGAGGCGACCCACTGATGGCCATGGTCTCCTAGGGCTCTAACACCTCTAAATCCTTCATCAGTCTCCTCCCTGCCTTTAGGCTTGGCTGAGCTGGCTGCACGAAAGTATAAGCAAGCTGCTAAGTGCTTCCTTCTGGCTTCCTTTGATCACTGTGATTTCCCAGAGGTGAGGAGGGGCACCAGGCACTCTTCAGCTTGTCCAAGTCCGTAAGAGGAAGTGAAAGCTCGTGGATTGGGCTCGTGAACAAGGGTCTAAGCACTGTCTTGAGTGGGTAGTGAGAAGGGCAGGGCAGGCCCCAACCTTGGGCTTCCTTGGTCTGGTTTCTGGACCCACCTCCCCCTCTGCCCCTCAGCTGCTGTCCCCCAGCAATGTGGCTGTCTATGGTGGCCTGTGTGCCTTAGCCACCTTTGACCGGCAGGAGCTGCAGCGCAATGTCATCTCCAGCAGGTAAGTTGGTAGTGGGCTCCTACTTTCTGGGCTCCCATCGAGTCAGCCCTCCTTAGCTGAGCATTCTGGTATCCTCAGCTCCTTCAAGTTGTTCCTGGAGCTGGAGCCACAGGTCAGAGACATCATCTTCAAATTCTATGAGTCCAAGTATGCCTCATGCTTGAAGATGTTGGATGAGATGAAGGTAAGGTACAGGTACAGGCACCTTGGACTGAAGGGATAGGCAGCCTGGGACTGAGCTGGGCATGCCTCAGAGACCCTGACCAGCCCTCCTCTGCAGGACAACCTGCTCTTGGACATGTACCTGGCCCCTCATGTCAGGACACTGTACACCCAGATTCGTAATCGGGCTCTCATCCAAGTAAGTGTGGGTGTTGGGGAAAGGGGCATGAACGGTTAGGGCTATGTGGAATGTAGACCTTCTGAGGAGCAATGAACAGCTTATGGCTTCTGTCCTATAGTACTTCAGCCCCTATGTGTCAGCTGATATGCACAAGATGGCCGCAGCCTTCAACACAACAGTTGCAGCTCTGGAAGATGAGCTGACACAGCTCATCCTGGAGGGGCTTATTAATGCTCGCATCGATTCACACAGCAAGGTGGGTACACAGGGTGGGGGCTGCTCCAAGTATGTGGTGTGGAGCCTCGCTGGGCTGCTCTGTCTGAGCCGCCTCGTGTGTGCATAGATACTGTATGCTCGAGATGTGGATCAGCGCAGCACCACCTTCGAGAAGTCCCTGCTGATGGGCAAGGAGTTCCAACGACGTGCCAAAGCCATGATTCTGAGAGCCGCTGTGCTACGCAACCAGATCCATGTCAAGGTGAACAGCCTGGGGTGCGAGGGAATGGGCAGCACCCACACAGCCTCCACTGAACCCTTCCCTGTCCACTGCAGTCTCCTCCTAGAGAAGGGAGCCAAGGGGAGCTGACTCCAGCAAACAGCCAGTCACGGATGAGCACCAACATGTGAAAGGCATTCCCGTGACCGTCAGACTCTGCCATGGAAGCAGCACCTGGGCCTCCTGCCTGCTTGCCTCAAGATGAGACTCCAAACTCTGTGTGGTTCATTAGAGCAGACTGGCCACTCGGATGCTGGGTCACTGGCCTTCCGCTCTGAGCTCCCCTCTGCTGTGGTAGGCAGGCTGCCCATGTGGCCACTGGGGCCTGACTCTAGGTTCCTGTCCCAATGAAACAGACCATGTGCAATTCCCAGGTAAGGGCACTCAGACCCTTCCTGTCCATGTAGTTCTGACTACAGCAGTGTCCCTATCCGAGTAGTCCATTAAAGTACACATTGATCATTGCCCCAGGCTCCCTTCCTTTCTGCTTGTGTCCCCTGGATACTCTGACCACTCACAGGAGGGAGCGGTCCACTGAGACAGGAGAGCAGCCTCCTTGGATGTGGGCTAGGAACAGCCACAGGCCATTATTCTAGATGTCTGAAATGGTTTATTGTTCAGTGCTGGAAACACAAGTGTGGGAACAGGGCAAGTCCAACCAAGGCTACCCTTGGTGCAACATTGCCAGGCCCCCACCTGCAGACATCAACATGTTCTGTGTCAAAGAGGAGATTCCCTGAGTAAAGGCATTTCCTTAAGAGTGTCCAGGCTTCAGTGGCTGTCCAGGGGTAGAGATGGCTCTTGCTGGCGTTCAGGCTAGGGCACTACCCATGACTTCAGAGAAACCACTTGGTGTTACAGGCCTCACCTGCTGAGCTTCCTGCAGTCCAGGCTGGATCCCTTTCCAGGCCAGAGACTTCTCTAATTTGGTCTTAAAAAGCAATCCATGACCTGACAGGGAGGGCGAGAGGAGAATGGGGGTCAGGAAGCCAGCGTTCCCACTACTGCTAGAGGGTGGACGGGCTGGTTACAGCGGGCATCTGCTCACCTGGGCAATCTGCTGTCTCTCTGAAAGCTCGCTTCTTGCAGCAACCACGGCACAGATTAAACACACACCTATTGCCCTGTGTGTAGAAAAGCTAATGAGCTGAGGCCAACGCATGGACTCAGGCTAAATTGTGAGGTGGGTAGTACCAGACTCCAGCACCATAAGGAGCACCCATGAGGACCGTCCTGCCCACAGAACAGAGGGCCAGCTCACCTTTGGATTCCCACATTGGTCACACTTTGCATATTTGGCTGGGGAAAAAAAGGGGACAGGTTGAATGAGCTGAATGAGGCAGGGCAGGGTGAGCAGCTGCCACCCACCTATACAAAGACTTATTGATATATACAGAGTTCTGTCTGCAAATGCCTCAATGCCAGGAGAGGGCACTAGATCTCATCAGTCATGGTTGCTGGGTACTGAACTCAGGACCTCTCGAAGAGCAACCAGTGGAAGCGCTCTTAACCTCTGAGCCCTCTGAGGGTCCCACCTCTACAAAGCTTGCTGTGGCCCCCCAGGCCAGGAAACTGAGTAAGGACAGATGATGTAGCTATTTATGACAAGAGATGGCTGACGGGAGACCGAGCATAGCCTCACTGGAAACAAACAGAAAGCAGGTGGGCTGCCCACACCACCCTTAGCATCCAAAGGCCTAGGTCTGTTACTGTCTCCCATTGAAAAATTTGGGTATTCACATGTGGTTTAAGCTCTGCTGATAAAAAGTCAGACTACACAGTGAGATCCAAGGCAGCGTGGATTACAGATTGAGACCTACGTTAAGAAACGAAAGGGGCAAAATCAGAACCCCTGTCCTAATGCCCACTTCCTGTGGTATAGAATTGCAGGCAGAAACTACTATGGCATCTCTCTCTTAAAACAGTCCATGCGCGACTGTGATATGGTCCTTCCTGCTGTCTCCTCAGCCTCACAAAGTTCAGATTAAACTCCCAGGGAGCTGCCATCAGATGCTGAACCTCTAGGAAGCAGCTGAATGTGTGAGCCCAGATTGCCAAAATGGCTAGGACACAGGACAATACCCTGGACTGAGACCAAGCTGCACACCTAGAAACACTACTGAAAAACCCTGAGTCTAGGAGAGGCTAGCACCTTCATCCCCATCTATCTGAGTCAGGACTCTGACCCACCACTCTCCAAATATGTACAACCCAGCATGCTCCCCAGCCAGTGACTAACTCAGCAGGCCAAAGACAGCCCTAGTGACCCAAAGTCTTTGTCATATAGTCAAACTCCTGTGGTCATCTGAACAGCACCTAGCTAAGGAGCTAGTACAGTGGCCTTGTCTGATACATTAAGTAGGTTTATAGCCATACACTACACTACAGATCAGATTCAAAGGCCCTTCACAGGCTCTTAGTGTCATAAAGTCTGGTCTGGGCATAGGATTGCAGGGAGAATTGTCTCCAGGCATGTCTCTGGATCTGGCATGAAACTTGAGAAGCCTGGACTCCTATCCCCAGTAAAGATGATAAAGATAATGAAGAGGTTTCCAGGCAGGCTGCCCAACAAACCTGGCTTCAACAGGAGTAGCACTCACGTTTCAGGGAAGGGTCAAAGGTTTTGTGAGGGTTCCTCAGTTGTTTCTTAAGCTTATTCTTGGACAAGCCCTCCATGCTGCCCTCTTCTTCCTCCAGAGCCCGCTTGCTTCGACTACCACTGTTCTCCTTGCTCCCTTCCCTAGGTCTGAAGGGAAAGGACAGTGAGCAGCATCAAAGAAGAGTTCACCAGTGCTAAATGGAGCACATCTCAGGAGGGTTCCAAGGCAAAGGGGCTGGAAAGCCAGAGATGCCAAGGGCATGCATGGTTCTACTCAAGTAACTATTCTTGGCTGTCCAGGCAAACAGGGCTGGTCCAAGGACATAGGTACAGTTCACACAATAGAATGGCTAACAGAAATTAAGCCTTCCTGGAATGACATCTAAGGTTCCGGAGCCCAGGGTCTTCGACACTGAGTCCAGTCAAGCTGAAATCACAGATGACAGCCTGCCCACTTTAGAGATTCCAGCCCCAGGGTCTACCTGTTAACCCCAAGGACAAAGCCACACAGGACTAAAGGATCTTGGATAAGTACCCTTGGATAAGCACACAGACTCTCCTCTTCCTTTGCCCAGGACAGGGACTTGTCTTAGCAACTAGAGCAACGGCAAAGGGCACCTGTGCACATACTCCCACTGTAGACTGGCTAAGCTCACCCTGGCCGGATGTAGGGCTGGCATATCCAATGGAAAGCAGGTAAGTTGTCAGCTGGCCTCACTCCTTCTTGCTGCCTGGACATGTCCTCCTGCAAAAGCCCAAGGCCTGTCAGAGACCTAAACTGCTGGCCCACTACAGAACTTGCTGGGCTCCCATGCACCAGCCCTTCACCTGCCTGACACCGAAGCTTTAGCGCCTGGCTCACCGCAGCCACACCTTCCAGGGTCTTCACCTTGGCCAGCTCCTCTCGAAGCTGCTGATGTACCTGTAGCCTGAGGCAGATGCGTGTCACTCCCAGTCACCACCTAGGCCAAGTCCTAGGCACATGGCCAATTACCTCTTCCCACCGAGACTCCTGCCCTCCCTCACTGCCAAGCCACCAGCCCTTCAGCAGACTAGGTGGCCAAGTTTTTTTGGGGGAAGCCCACAGAACAGTCCAGGCAGGGTTCTGACACTGCCGAGACAGACTCACTCTCAAGTCCTGCCCAGAGAGCAACTCACGTGTGGTGCCACAGCTTGAAGAGATGGGCCCGGACATAGGACAGTGGGCAAGGGTGCTGCCGCACAATGTCCAGGTACTCATCGGCCAGCTCCCACACCGCAGGGCTTCGGCCCTCAAAGAGGGCAGGGTTGTGCAGGTTCCCCTCTGGGAAGAAGGTAGATAAAGCTCAGAACACTCTCCCAGCCACTCAGGTCACTGGCTAGCTATAGGACTGGCAAGTCTGGAAAACGGTCTGAGGGCTTGGTTTGGGCTCCTTGGAGCAGACATGACAGTGAACACCATCTACTTAAATAGGACTACAAGGACGAACAAAGCCGAGGTGTGCATCTGCTCACCTGCACTCATGACCCCCTGCACGCCTGTGTCCTGGAGGCACCGCTCCACATCCTGCAGGCACCGGATGTTCCCATTGGCAAACACAGGGATCCCCACAGCCTTCCTGTGGCGGGGGAAGAGAAGCCTGACCCTACACCATGCCAGGGCAGTACTAAGCCAGGAGGGGCAGAGACCAGCCACCAAGTTCTATCTTGTTGAGACACCTTGGCTTCTGTGGCATTATTGCCTTCCCTCTCAGACAGTTATAGGGCATAGTGCCAAGGTGTCCCACTAAGTTTATGCCACTTCCATAAAGTCCAATGGACCAATGACTGCACCCGACCCGTGTCTGCTCACCGAACTGCCTTGATGTGCTCCCAGGAGGCTGTTCCTGCCATGGGCCCCTTCTGCTCCTTGGTGCGCCCATGCACAGTCAGCAGCTAGGACAGACCAACACTTGGTTCAACCCTGCTCTACGCAAAGGTCCCAATTACAAGGGACCTGCTCGAGTTTCTCAGCTTTCCATGCTAGGAGGAACCAAGGCCATCTGGAAGGGATCTGTCCCTGGTCCCAGGGTCTTGAAAGCCCTGCCCCTTTGGAAGAGCCCCAGGCTGCAATCAGAAAACATAAGTCAAGAGGCAGAGCCCCAAGTACAGAAAAAGTCTGGAGAACTCAGGATGCAGGATCCTGCTGTTTCCAGAAAGCACATGTCTCAGAGTACACTTGGCCAGGCTCAACATGCAGGACAAGGAACAGGACAGGGTCTGATAGCCCCATGGCTTATGCCCAGGCTTTCCCAGAGGCTGGATACTGAGCTCACCTAAAGGCAGCCCTGACTGATGTCTAGCAAGCCTGAGATGTGGTAGTGAACCCAATGGTACTCTCCATGCAGACAACACCCTGGAGCTGGAATGGCAGGTTTAGAGTTCCCAGGCCAGGGTAGCAGGTCTTAGAAGTGGTGCCAGGAGGGGCCCACTGCCCTGCCCAAAGCAAATGTCTTGACTGCAGCCCCCACTCAAGAGCTACAGAAGCAAGAGCCACCTCTAGTGTTGGAAGATTGTCATGGAAAGACAGAACGTGCTCAAATGTGAGGCCAGGCCGCCTGCTAGATCCCAACAACCACCCTGGGAGCCATGGCCTCACCTGACAGCCAGCCTTCTCCAGCATCTGGGCGTACCTCACTGTCTTGTCAATCTCTGGGAAGACACGGATTTTGCATGTGACAGGAACAGAGAGTCGCTCATGAGCCAGCAGAACTGAGAAAAAAGACAGCCTCTGAGGGAACCGCAGTGCCACTTCAAGGTGGCCAAACCCCAGTGTGTTCCCATGGGGCACTGGGAGTTAACAGGAGTAAGGACACCATCCTAGCACTTAATGTCTGATTCTAAGGAGATAGTTGGTATACATCAGGGGACTCTATAGTCACCTCCTTCCAGCAGGGAAAGTCCTGTGGCCAAGAGCCCCCAGAGGGATCACCGTTGTCCTCTCTTGAGCCCCAACCAAGCAGCTGTGCTTATGAGCCCTGTCAGACTGTCTCTGGGGCGACTCACTTGCTGACACAGTGGCATGCAGCCAACTCACTCATTCTTTGAAGAAGATCCCACTCCTCCTGAAGAAAAGCACCATAGTGACCTGCAGAGAAAGAGAGTGGCCCCCGTTGCACCCACATTGCCATGAACCCCCTACTAGGCCAGCCCCTCAGAATACAGAGGACTCCACAGCTAGGCTGCGTGCATGAGTGCCAGCCTCTACATAGAACCTCAAGGTCAGTAGGGTCTCTGGACTTTGGAGCTATGCTATCAAAACTCCAAAGCAGGCCACACAGAACACTTAACACCACACAGCCTAAGACCAATAATGTTTGCTTGGAGGTCCAGTGAGCCTATGTGTGGGATTACAGAGCCAAGGACTCCCCCCAACCCCCAACCAGCTGGTCACATTTATCAGTAAGATACCCATGTGGCCAGCAGAGTCTGGTCTCCAGTCAAGCATCTGGGAACTCTCCAGGATGACAAGACCAGAAAAAGAGCCACCACAGTCACAGGGGCTAACTCTCCCCATGCCCACCAATACCCAGGCTCCACCAGAACAGGCCTGGACAGGTGTCAACACAGGACTGTAGAAATGACCTCACCTCTCTTGGCTATCATCTGTGGGCAGCCCAAGTTGAGGTCAATGGCATCACAGTAATCTTGCGCTAGCAGAGCTGCCTGGACAAACACCTCTGGGTCATTGGCACAGAACTGAAGAAGACATGAATGTCACCCTTGGTCAGAACAGGCCTAGGACTCTCCCTGCCTAGGCCACCCAGCCCTGTGAGGAGCCCCGAGACTCAATGAGCTATGATCTTTCCACCAGCATTTATAGTAAGTGGGAACCATCTCATACCACTAGGATTATGAGCTGTATATGACATGTAACTGTATATGGTGGGGACAGTTTGGAAATGCTGTCCCTATATACAGGCTACCCAGTAGCCACGGTCCCTCTGGTCACCTGCACAATGAGAGGCCTATCCTCAGGGCACACGTCACAGTATAAGTTCTCTTTCCGATAGTTAGCATCTCTAACGAAGACCTGGGCATGTAGCATAGGGGTGTAGCATAGCTGGGCTCCATGGCGGCGGCTCAGCAGTCTCCAAGCTAGCTCACTTTGGTCCACCATGGGTGCCACCACATGTCGGGCACCCCCCAGGGTGCGGCTCCAAAACTCAAAACCCTGAAGTTTGGGCATCCTCTCCACACTAAGGGCAGAAGAGGAACAAGCTGTTATTTCAGCCATAGTATCCCATCATACACCAGGAGGGTTCGAAGTTCAACTCAAGGGGCTGACCACTCTGGTCAATTATTGCTGACAGCTCCCCCAAACACACGATGACAACAGGAGAGGTATACGCAGCCACAGGGTCGAGCTGCCCTCCTCTATCTTCTAGCAGTGACCCTGGCATACCACTCACCCTCCCTGGACCTTACCCCCTCATTTGCTACTGGATTAAACGCTAGCCTGGTGGAACAGGTGTGGAGGATAAACTCGTCTGTGCCCGAACAAGGAAATCTGTGCCCCTGTAGGCCGGACCTGGCCAGGTGAGACCACCTGGCGGCACGAGGCCTGACGCCACCTCGGGTCTTGGGAGAGCAGCGAGCACGTCAGCCCCGAAGGCCCCTTTCCTGGTCTGGCCCAGAGCCTCCTTCGCTGACCCTACCCCTTGGGCTGGCTGGGGGCCCGAGCCGCCACCGGACGACGTCAAAGGAGCTTGAATTAGGTCTACTTCTCACACCGTCGGAGATGGCCGGGGCTCGATGAAGACCTGTGGCTGCAGGCACGCTCCAAAGAAAGGGACACAGAAGGCCCCTAGCCTCTGCCTTACCCGCGGCACCGCCAGCAGGACCCACAGGAAGGCGGCGGCAGCCGCCAGGCTCTGTGGCTCAGATTCAGCGCACCACCACCGGAAGTGCCGAGGCCGGAAGCGCACTGTCAGACGCTCCGCACCGTCTGCGGTGCGTCAAAGAAAAAAATCCTCGGAAACTGTAGCTCAGCACCGAAGGGACCGGTCCTGTAGACACTGGAGCTGAGCAAGTACAAACTGCGCATGCCCGGAGCCACGTTGTCCGTTCCAGACAATTGGCAGTGCGACATCTTTCCTCCCACCTCTATCCCCAACCCACCCCCGCATTCCAGGAGCAGCCCTTGGTTCTTCAGACACAAGACATAAATTCAGTATAACACCACAGTAGGAAACGAGATAAAGAATTATTACTCCAAATCCTGAATAGGAAAGGTTACAAGAGGCCTGTCCTTTGTTGAGTAATGAGATGCTTCCTAGAGGAAAGGAACATGCATAAAGAAATATGACGTTGGCCGGACGATGATGGCCTACACCTTTAATCCCATCATTCAGGAGGCAGAGGCAGGCGGATCTCTGTGAATTGGAGGCCAGCCTGGTCTACAGAGTGAATTCCAGAAATCCTCCCCTACCCCCCAGCTGCCCCCATTCTCAAAAACAAAATCAAACAAAAAAGCTTTCTCTCTTAAGCTCCTCTTTTCAGGGTATTTTAAATAGGAAACCAAACTGTGACGGTAAACTGTTATTTTCTTTTTAATAGTAGTCCTCTACTTCACAGAGATAGATCTACCAGACCCTGCCTCCCAAATACAGACTTAAAGGCATGAACCACTGTCTGATTCATTTTACTACTCTTTAATTGTTCTATGGCTACTTATATGCACCTTGAGTTTTCAGAGTCTAGAGTTTGTATCCTGCAACTCACATGCTTCCAGTATTTACCTCTGTTGTTCAGATTTCCAGCTCCACAAACCTTACAGAAACATTGTGTCACAGAGTCTTGCTCTCCAGCCTTAATGCAATTGCTGATACATACTTTATAATGATTGATACATGTAAAAGGTATAATGATATAATGTAATATATGTGTATTACATGGACCATTTATGATACTTTAATTTTCTGCCTTGTAAGAAAATGACAGGAAGCTGGGTGGTGATGCCACATGCCTTTAATCACAGCATTCAGGAAAAAGAGGTAGGAGTATCTCTGTGAGTTGGAGGCCAGCCTGGTTTACAGAGCTAATTCAGGATAGCCAGGACTACATAAAGAAACCATATCTTGAAAAATAAAATAAAAAATAAAGAAAGTAAACAAGAGGGGCAGGAGAGATGGCTCAGAGGTTAAGAGTGCTAGTTGCTCTTCTAGCAGTCCTGAGTTCTGTTTCCAGCACCCACAAGACAGCTTACAACTGTCTTATGGGATCCAGGGCCCTCTTCTGGTTGACTTTTAACTAGGATTCTAGCAGAGGATCTGAGGATGACCTTGAATTCCTGTTCCTTAGTCCCCACCTCCCAACTGCTTCATTGATGCTGTGCTGGAAATCAAACCCAAAGCTTGTGTGTGTTGGGCAATTGCTCTACTAGCTCAGCCGCATCCCCAGTCATTTCTTAGTCTTTTTTCCTACTCTTCTTTTGTCTATGCAACTGCCTAAGTTTCTATTGTTGACAGCATCTTGCCTGGAATTCTGCTTTGTTTTCTGAGATCACCTTGACTGAGCAAGAGTGTTTTCTGCTCTTAGGTTGGCCTGCCCACTAGTGGAGTCTTCCAGCACTGCTTGTTAGCTAAGGCAGCACAGGCCACTTCTGCTTCAATAACTGACTTCCCCGGGAAGGAGCAGCCTGGGATTTCCACTCATCTCTCTTGGCAGGGACCCACTGTCTCACTTTAAGGCCGGGTAAAGACACTGAGACTGGGTTTCTCTTCTTGCCTCCCCAGAGCTGAACTTTGAACCTCTAGAAGCCACTTGGTGAGAAAGGACTCTGGCAGATGACGACTGAACACAGAGCTGGGTGGTGAGCCTTTGGTAGCCTGTGCCCCAGCCCTAAGCTGGCTCCTGGAGGAGGGAACTTGTCCTTAGCTGCACCCATCTAGACTGGAGCTTGCATCATGTGGGCAGAGAGGAGGGATGGGCCAAGTCAAGTGCCCCAAACTCACTCCCTTCCTGGCAAAGATTTGGTAGATTTTCCTGAACACTGTTTCCCCTTTGGCTGAGAGTCCTCAGAACAACTTCCAGGACTTTCAATGACTTTCTGAAGACTTTTCACCAGAAAAGGCTGCTTTACTCCGGACAGTCCTCTGAACCCCTCTGGCCACTGGGAGTGTGGGACCCTTTTAATTCAGTATGACTCACACAGATGCTCGGGTGTTTTCGGGAGGGTGCCATTGTGTGTCCCCTTTGTTCTCTTCTCCACTTCTCTTTTTGGAAACAGGATCTCACTATGTACCCTTAGCTGACCTAGAACTTGATAAACCAGACTGGCCTCTGACTCATAGAGATCAGCCTGCTTCTGTCTCCAAGAGCTGGGATGAGAGGGTATGGGTGATGTGTGCTACTGTGCCTAGAAACAAAATTGCAAAGATAACAGCAGCTCTAAGAATTACCCCTTACCCCTTATGTCTCCCTCTCCCACCCATCCTTCCTAATGTACAAAAATGACATTATCATTGAGTTTTATTGTTTGATCCTGTTCTTTCAAACGGTTTCACATGGCTGGCTTGCAACTTACTCTGGAGCCCAGACTAGTCTCAAACTCATGGTGGTCTTCTTGTTCAGCTGCCCAAGGGATAGAGGTGAGCTCCACCATCCAGAGCTTACCTTTCCCGTTTGTTGTCCTGAAGTTCATGTCTTCCTTCCCTACTCATGACTCTCCTTTGGACACATGCAATCCATCCATTCTGTTAGTCACATAGAGTAGATAAGTAGGTCATCTCCAATATTTTTCAACTTTGTATTGTCTTACAATGGATGTGTGTGTTTGTATGCACATGTATGTATGTGTGCCTCTGTGTGTGTGCATGTGTATGTATGTGTGCATGCACACATGTGTGTTTGTGGGTTGTTCATGTGTATATATTGTGCATGTATGTGCATGTGTATGTGCATGCATGCATGTGTGTGTGTATGCATGTGTATGTATGTGTGGTGTATGCATGTGTGTGTGTGTATGCAGGTATATGTGTATGTGTGGGCGTTGGTGTGCACTGTGTGTATGTGTGTGTTCATGCTTGTGTATATGTGTTCATGAATGTGCATGTATGTATGTGTGTGCATTTATGTATCTATGCATGTGTATGTGTGTATATGTATGTATGTATGTGTGTATGTATGCATGTGTATGTGTACATGTAAGTGTACTTAGAATACTTTCCAAGAAGCATAAACACAGAGGTGATTTTTCTGTGTGCTGCCAAATCTCTGCCTTGAGACCCTTTGTTCTCTGCCTCCCGGTAGGGTTGCTTTGATGCCAGTTTCTCTGTAACCTCTGAAGCACTCTGTGGTTATGTTGTCAACCTGACAGATAAGGAATGCTCCTCCTTGTTGTGACTGTCATTTTTTTTATTTCTCTTATAATGAGAGGTTGGACATCTTTTTATATGGTTAGAGGTCTAATTGACTATTATTTTGTTTATAAATTCCTTCTTAAACAGCTTCATGGAGGCATAATTAATATTTTTAGAATATATACAAAGTGGCAGTTACATGTTTATAGATACCCATATATACAAGTGAAACTGTTATAGTCATAATGAAAGTGTTTATCGCGACTCCCGGTTTCCCTGTGCCCCTCCCCAACCCACTTCATCCAGGACATGTTTGTTGCTTTATATGTGTACTTCTGTAGGGCTTTATTCCCATGGAACTGTGTCAAGTTTTTGGCTTTGGTCTGAGGTGCATGGCTCATTCTTTCCATGGCTGAGCAGTACTTTCATGGAATGTTCTGAACTGTTTCTCTATTCACCTGTTTATGAATCTGGAGTGGTTTCTCCAACCATTGCTGTGGATGTTCTTGTCAAATCTTCATGTGGACAGAATGTAATTTATATACCTAGGAATGGAATGGCAGATCTTACATGTTTTGAAACAGGTTTCACGTAGCCCAGGCTGGCCTCAAATTCTTTATGTAGTCATGATGACCTTGAATTCCTGATCCCTCTGATCATTCTACCCAAATGAGTGCTAGGGTTACAGATATGTGCCACCACATCTGGATTCATGTTTCTTCTCTTCCTCCTCCTCCTCCTCCTCTTTGTCCTCCTCCTCCTATTCCTCCTCCTTCTTATTTCTCTTGCCCTTCCTCTCCTTCTCTTCCACTTCCTCCTCCTCCTCCTCTTCTTGGTGTGTGTGTGTGTGTGTGTGTGTGTGTGTAAAGGGATAAAGGGATTTGTTTGGCTTATATTCATCCCAATCACAGTCCATTATGAAAGGAAGTCAGGGCAGGTTTCAGAGACCTGGAGTCAGGAAGCAGAGGCCACAGAGGAACACTGCTTGCTACTAGGGTAGAGCTCTGAGCCATGGCCATACATCATCTGTGACTTTTTTGGTGGGTGCTGTAGGCTCTGCATTGCAAACATAAATACCCAGTCTCCGAGGCCACCTCACCCATTGCAGTGAAGCATGTGAGCCATTACTTCTCTGCAATTCTGATCTATATGTTCTACCTAAACTGTCTCTTTTAAAATGAGAAAAGAAAGGATTTATGGGGCTGGAGACATGGTTCAGCAGTTAGGAGCACTGATTGCTCTTCCAGAGGTCCTGAGTTCAATTCCCAGCAACCACATGGTGGCTCACGGCCATCTGTCATGGGATCCGATGCCTTCTTCTGGTGTGTCTGAAGACAACTACAGTGTATTCATATAAATAAATTAAATAATAAATAAGGCATTTACATATGTTGGCCTGTGGAGGTCAGAAGATGGTGTGGGATCCCCTGGAACTGGAGTTGTGATGGTTGTGAGCCACCATGTGGGTGTTGGGAACCAAACTCAGGTCCTCTGCAAGAGCAGTCAGTGCTCTTAACTGCTGAACCATCTCTCCAGTCCCCAAAACTGTCTTAAGCATTCTTCTGGGTACACTCGGAATTGTATGCTGCTCGATT